CTGTCTAAAACCTCTTGCCCCGTGGTCCTGTTTTTTTCAGAGATACCTGCCACCACATTTACATGAAACTCAATCACAGAAAATCCCCATGGACTCAATGCTGAAATAATAGATGATAATCTGAGCTCAAATTATTTTAGTTAAACATAGAGTTGAAGGGTTAAAGCCTTAAATCTGTAGGGAGAAATACCCAGCTAATTTTCTTTAATGCCCTCCTTAGTTAGACAGCCCTCCTGTATCTCATTTATTGTAGTTATAATTAATTGCTTTTTCTTTATATTTTTCATGTTGTATAGAGTTCCATACATAACTTTGGATGACATTAAAAATAATAACAGTAGCCTGCATTTAAAACAAAAAAAGAAGCAAACAAACAAATAAGAAAAGTAAAAACACAGTCAAGGGCTAGTGAGGTGGCTTGGCAGTTAACCCCTGCTCTTTTAGAGGACCTGGATATGCCTCCTCTTGTGCATGTGCACACTCACACATACACACTTACTCACATTTACACACACGCATGCACACACACACTCACATGCACACACTTTACACACACACTCACATGCACACACACATGCACTCATGCATACATTCACATACACACACATGTACACACACATATGCACACGCATACACAAACATACACTCACACACTCATGCACACACACTCACATGCACACATACATACACATGCTCACATGCACATACATGCACAAACACATGTACACTCACATGCAAGCACATGCACATACACATGTACACACATATGCACACACTCATATGCACACAATCACATGCACACATATGTACACACATGCACACACATATGCATACACACATGCACACACATGTACACACACATGCACACACTCACATGAACAGATACACATACACTCACACTCATGTACACACACATGCACACACACATGCATGCACTTAGATGCACATACATGCACAAACACTCACATGCACACTCACATGCAAACGCATGCACACAATATGCACACACTCACATGCACACATATGTACACACATATGCACACACTCATATGCACACACATGCACACATATGCACACACTCACATACACACACAATCCCTGACAACCATCTGTAACTGAAGTTCCAGTGTATCTGATGTCCTCTGCCTGCCCCTGCAGGATTCTGTATGCACGTGGAGCATATAAGCACACTCATATAAAATAAGTCTTTGAACATACCACAGTCGTTCTCCAATCCTACCTTTTAAATATAATGTCATATCGATGTTTATAATAGAATAAAATATAATTCATTTACACTGATATGCTCTCATTATTTTCTCATATGATGCTGGGAAGTTGCTGTCTCTGATCGATAATACACTTAGCAAATTATTATTGTTTTTTAATGAAAGGGCAAAATTTAGACAGTGAGATATTCCAGAATATTTTTTTAAAGTTCAGATTTACAAAAGTTGATCTTTTCTTGTGCAATATGTGATGATTCAAATTAGTGTACATTGAAAAATAACATTATTCTTGGGCTAAAAACATCTTTAAGATCTAAGTGATGGGGAGAAATTTCATGCTTTTCTCATTTTCTGTTCTGAGAAAAACATTGTCTTCTTAACTTGATGCTACAAGCAAATATTCCCTCTTTAATCCCTGGAGTATAGATTATGATTTTCATTTAGAAATTAATTTACCCATGTTTACTGTAATAGCCATGGGTAGCAAACTTTGCCAGCTTATTCTAACCCTGCTGGCTTGAAGTCAGTAGGGCTAGTGGTGATCTCTCCAGCCAGCCTCCTATAGAGTATTCTTTCTCAAATACTTTAATATATCATGTTATCACCAGTACAGGGCTCACCTAACCCTGCCAACTATCTTTCCATACATAGATACCAATCCTAAGGCCACAATGGGGCCTGCGATTGACGTGTGTCAAGAATTGCTTTTGATTATTCTAGAGAACAAATCATTAAATGGCTTTACTTAAATATTTATAAACCATACTAATTATTTGATTAATTGGTTGGTATTTGTGAACCTCATCAGCAACTTTAAATTAGAATTAATGAGCATTTACCAAAAAAGTAATACCCATAAATTAGAAAAATAAAATTAAAACATTAAAGAAATCTGAACTGTATGAACATTTAATTTTGAATAATGGTTGGCTAATTTTGCCCAAATTATGGGCTAGCCAAACTATAATTAAATCATTATGATAGTGTTGCTGAGGGCAGTGATCAATTGTGTCTCATAAAATGAGGCGCATGAATTACCTTAGTTTAATTTTAACTTGTGTCACAAAGATTTTCTTAATGTAATTTTGGTCAAAGAGTCTAAAGTCAAATTTTAATTGCACTCTGCAAATTAATCTCATACTATAACTTATTGATTGATTTGTCATCTGTTGTATACTAGATTTTAGCAGATCTTTGTTACTGGACTTTTATATTTTGATTTACTTAGTTCAAAGGGTATACTTTTTAGAGACGTATTTTATTTTTAGTTTATGTGAGTGAATTATTTTCCTGAGTGTGTGTTTGTGTGTGTGTGTGTGTGTATGTGTGTGTGTGCACGCACGTGCGTGCTCTTGCGTGCACACTGCATGTATGCCTGGTGCCCTTGGATACCCTTCAGATTCCCTGGAACTACAGTTCAGGACAGTTGGCTATCAGCTACCATGTACATCCTGGAACTGAAGTTGGGTCTTCCTTAAGAGCAGCAAATGCTCTTAACCAAGGACTCATACTTCTAGCCCTAAAAGGCTAGACATTTTCAAGGACAACATATTTGCATATATAAAATATGCACATGCATAATATATTTATATATTTGCATTTGCTGTAAGCTAGGAATATTTTGTATTACTTTTCATCAGGTAGCCATAGTGGTAAATTTACTGCTTTAATAGGCAACAGAAGCAGCTTACTTACTTTCTTTCATTTCCAATAAAACTAGCATTTTCCCATAAGTTAATAGAGTTGAGTTTTTTTTTTAACCTTTTTAAAATTGGTGCTGAAATCAAATTCCTTCTTCTCCTATTGAGCTGTAGCCTCTTACCTTTTACGTTTGTTTTATAATTTGTTGGTGTTGTTTCTTCAGCTTTTCTGCTATAACATTTGAGGTAAACAAGGCATACAAATAAACAGAGGTAGCTATCATCTTATATGTTATATTTTATTTTTGAGACAACGGTAGATTTCACTACAAAACTTTCATGTAGGCTTAAGCACATGGATAAGAGGAGCAACACTTGGAGAAAGGACAGTGTGTACCCAAGGGTTATTGCATGGACCTATCAACAGAGAACCATTATCAATTTTCCTTTTGGAGGTAAAAATATCTAAAATTTACTTTCTTACCAAATATCTACTACATAGGACATTATTATCTAATGTGTCATTCTGTATATCACACTCTTAGGCATAATCCTCCAGTATGACTTAAGCATTTGTTTTCATAGTCAAATTTAAGACTTCTTTAGTGTTATTTAAGATATTCTGTTAGGTTTTGATGAAATTCACTTGTGCCTGTCCATTTGTTGGAGCAGCACCGGACACATGATCAATGTATAGAATTTCGTCTTCTACAATAAGGCTTTTTTAGTAGCCAGTCAAGCCTTAGAATTTGTTCTGCACAGATTTCTGTTTTTCTGGGTTCTGTTCAAAGGCTTACTGTGTTTCCTGTTACTGTGGCAGCTTGCTACTGTATCCACTGATGGGTCAGGCTGCACACCAGAGATGGAGGGATGTGGGTGGATGTGTCTGTTTCATGCTGTTGGTAAGCTTCCTGGCTGTAAGTGGCCCTTCAGTTTGTAATTATGGGAAGTGCATGTGCAGAGGAAATGAGTGATGTCTCATTTCTCCCAGTTCCTATAAAGATGTATATTTTTTTAATATTTTTTCCTGAAAAATGTTACTTCTTTTTTTTTATTTTTTTATAATTTATTTTTTTCTCAAATCGTAATTCATTCACACTGGGGTTATAAACACAGAAAGGCAGGATGTGGGGAAGGGGGTGACACATTACTTCTAACAAATAATAATCCTGCAGTATGTGCAAAGTAGCTCAGAGGTTTTCTTATTTCGAGGATAACTTGATACTACTTTATAAATTGTTGTAAAAGCCGGGTAGTAGTGGCACACACCTTTAATCCCAGCACTTGGGAGGCAGAGGCAGGTGGATTTCTGAGTTTGAGGCCAGCCTGGTCTACAGAGTGAGTTCCAGGACAGCCAAGGCTACACAGAGAAACCCTGTCTCAAAAAACCAAATAAATAAATAAATAAATAAATAAATAAATAAATAAATAAAATTGTTGTAAAAATATAATCATTAACTTGGTGTTTTGTTCTGTTTTTTTTTTTTTTTTGCCTTTTGTTGTTTGTTTCCTTTTGATTTGTGACAAAGTCTCATGTAGCTCCCAGTGACATTTGACTTGTTTTTTAGCTCTGATCCTTCTACCTCCACCTTTCTGGTGCAGTGTTACAGGTGTGCACCACACAGGTGTGCACCACCACACTGGGCCCTTCATTGTACTCCTTGAATCTGTCATGTTTTTGTGGTGTTACCAAAGGAGAATTGAAAATAACTAAAAAATAAGATTGCCCTGCTGCTGCTTCTTACTGATAGTGCTTTAGACATCCTAGACAGCCTTATTGCGTGACTTACGGTGTTTATTTCCCTGGGTAACCACAGGCTTATTGACATGGAAACTGAAGTTTTGCACAATTTAACACGTGTCTAGGATCTTTCTGACAAAGGTACTAAAGCCATACATAGAGGATTCTTCCTACCAGAGATATTCAGATACCTTTGGCACTATTATGGTTTGAATTGCTAGCTATCAAGACTTTATTCCTTCATGTTAATTTGCTCATGATGTCTACTTGATACCATTCCTATTAGAAAACAGATTCAATGGTGTAATTATTCTTTCAAAGCATGAGTGAGAATACTGCCCACATGAAACATGCACCTGGTTTACCATAACTACACTCTTGTCTTCACAGCTCATGGGTCATTCAGAATGGGACCACAAGAGAGGGCCACGAGGATCCCAGGTAAGCACCCTCTCCTTCATTTTCTCACTTTCTGTTTCTTAATGCTTTGAAGAATAGATTCTGTGAAATTCAAGAAATAATAACCTGCAGACAGAGGAAGAGGCAAAAATAATTGTGCCATTTGTTTTTATTTAAGTTAGCTGCAATTAAAGTCTGGATTTCAAGACCCACAGGCAGATGTCAGTCTTTTCCTCCTGAGACCTTCCTGATCTTCCAGATTGCTCTGTGTTTATGTGCATGTGAACTTTATATTCCTCTCAACTCTGCAGAAGGCATTATGATCAACAACCCACTCTCTGGACCTCATTCACTTCCTTTGATAATTTTCCATGTGCTCTCTTCCTCCTCTCCTCTATCTTCCTGTTTCTGGTTAAACATTCTGAAATAGAATCGGGGGGAAAACTCTGAACTAATTAAGAAAATTTTGTGTCCAAATTAATTCTCTTTGTCTAAGGAATATAAAGATGAAAGAACCTATTATTTTCTTAAAAGAAACTAATTCTAACCCTTTCTATATTACCAGACTGTTTTCATTGTCTCCTTTTATGTCTTAGGCAAAAGGGAAAAGCTTCCATGACACATTTATTCTTTTTAATGACCTAATTAGACAATGTGGATATGTTTTTCTTCTAAAATCACATTGCCTGACAGAATAAATGGTTTGGCTTCACACTCAGAAGATCTCCTTTCCTCTCAGGATATTTTGTAAAGATGTAAAAGATATATTGTTTTTATAGCAGCCTCTGTTTACCTGACTGTAAACATAACCACAAAAAAGTACATGGCTGGAAATTCTTAGCTCTACATTCACCTTTGTGAGTGTACTGTGCAGTAAATGTCTGTTCATTGTCAAATGTGGGCCACTCCTGGGTGTATTTCAAATATCTATATGTGCCTGTGTCCTTATTCACTGGGAAAATGATGAAAATTTAGTGGGTTGTTTCAATGCTGCTGTTAGAAGAACTGTTTTTATTTTATTTCATTTCAACATTTATTCAATATTTTTTTAAAAAACTTTTTATTAAGCACTTTTATTGAGGGTGTTTAGATGAAATATTACTGAATATATAGTCTTAAACAACAGAGATGTTGTTTAAAACAACAAAATCAAGCTAATACTACGAATCTATTTTCATAGAAGCTGTGATTCTTTTCATCTATACCAGTTGATTTAATGAGCAATATAGACAAACTCAAATCAGGGTTATCCCAAGGACTGTGTTCTGTGCTTTCGTCTTTGCTTCTGTTTCTCTGGCACTTATCTCTCATCACATCTTTAATATCTTAAGTCTCATCTTGCTGCATTGTGGGTAGTGAGTTGTTGACAGTAACAGAATAAATTTCACATGATTACAAACCACTAATACAAAGAAACAGCACCAGGATGGTATATGGCTCAGTCATTAAGAGCAAGACCTGTTTTTTCAGAGCACCTGAATTTGGTTCCTAGCACTCACACGAGGTGACTCAAAAGGGCCTGTGACTCCAACTCCAGGGTATCCAGTGTCTCTGGTCTCCAGAGACATGCAAATACACAAAACAAAACTGCACATATACAAAACTGCACATACACAAAACTGTACATACACAAATTGAACATACACAAAACTGCACATATGCAAACTACACTGCACACACACAAAACTTCAATGCACACAACTGCACATACACAAAACTACACAAATTAAAGAGTTATTAAAAATAGGTAATAAATAAGTGATTGTTATTGCCTAAATGCTTTGATGTCCAACCATTTAGAAGCATGTCCAACTTGTTGAAGACATGTACTGCCAAAAGAATGTAGTAAAATGTATACATATATTGTTTTTTAAAGTATGTTTCTCTCTAAAGGCCAATGTGCTATAATTTATATTAAAGTTGGGCTTGGTTACACTGTCATATAAATTATAAGAAAAAATATCCTTCCATTAGTTTTAAATGTAAAAGAAAACACAGAGTAAAGCAAATTATATTCTAGGTATTATATATAAGTAAAAAAAAACTTACAATTTTATATGTAAAAATGTTTCCATAAATTTCATAAGAATTAGATGATACTAGAATGCTTGCTTGGTTCAAAAAAGCAAATGAGTTAGTTAGCTCAATTAGCTAATGATACAGATATACTCCCCTGCTCCAAGGAATTGTATCATGCACCGCAGGGGCTTCTTGTACCTTCCCACCGGTGGAGTGAGTCTTCTCAATGTAGTTTCCCTTTGTCATACTGAGTCTTCAAGTAGAGTAAAAAATGTTGAAGTAAAAATGCCCACTAAGAAGTAAGAACAGTTAATAATGAACCCTTCATTTTTCCAAAATTCTAGAAAGGTAAGCGGAGCACTAAGTAACAACCTCTGACCTAATTCAAATTTCTTATTACCTTGCTGTCATAAGACACCAAGAGCTTTGGGTAGATCATTAGTCCCTTCTTGTCTTCCTGTCTTTTAAACATATATAATATTCTCAAAAGTTTCAATCTTTCAAAGGGAATTTCAAGCATGCTTCATCTGAATGCCTATCATTTAATATTTAACTAACACTCCAAGGCCTTAGTGAAATCCAGTCTCATCTAGGTATAATTTAGAATGGTTTACATGATGCCCATGGTTTGAAATAGAGCAGTTGTGTGGGTGTGGAGAGATGGCTCAGTGGTTAAGAGCACTCACTGCTCTTGCAACAGGTTCCATGTTCCATTCCTAGCACCCATGTCAGATAACTGACAACTGCCTGCAACTCCAGTTCCAGGGAATCTGAAACCCCAAGTCTCCTAGAACCTGACACACACACATGCATACCCAGCTGCACAGACCCATAATCACACACATGATTAAAAATAATAAAATAAGTATTGAAAAAAATAGAACCATTTTTCTATTTGTAATTCCCATATAAGGCATCTGGCAGAAGAAAATACCCAGTAAATAAACGAAATGTAATGGAACTTTGGTGATGGAAGATAGTTCTTTCTGTCTAGTGGAATTATGAATACTTCATAGAAGTGGTACCAGCAGGGATAAGCCTTAGTTGTCAGGTAAGACTCCAGAGTGCACAGAGGCAACAGAGGATGATGCTATTCAAATAGCATTCTGAACTGGGACATAACTGTGTATATGTGAATTTTTCTTTGTAGCTTTACTTTGAAACCTATTGGGTAAGGATGTTACCTGATGTGAATGCCAATGGTATTGATGAGATGGGTACTGTCACAGGAATTACTCTAAAGGGCTGAGACAGAGAATGTGATATGACATTAATGAGATCATAGGGTGAATATAAAGATGGTCGAGTTAGAACACTGGGAGATTCTGTGCCACAAGAGAGACCTTCCAAGGGAAGATGGCGACGTCTGTGTAAGTGCCAGCAATGAACAGCCAGGATGGTAATTCCAGAAGGAAGCTTCATACAAATACACAAGGGACTATTCTAGCTGCACTGCAACCAGAAGAGAACAAATGTCAATCTGGAAATGCTAGTTGTGCATGTGATAATTTAACTACAGTGGCAGATAGACTCCCTGAAGAATATTTGAAGACAAAAACGGAAGAAAGGCCAGTTCTTGGGAATTACTCACTGGTCAGTCCAAGAGGAAGCCAGGGAGGGAGGTATTGTGTAAATCAGCAGTGGGAGAAAAGGAGTCAGACCTGAGCAGTACTGTCAGAGGAAAGAGAGCTGAGTCCATAGACTCAAGAGAATGAAAATGAAGGGGATATCTTTGGGTTGACTGAGTAGGGAACTGATGAATGTGAGCAAAGTGCTTTTGATAAAGAGATGATGTTATAGAGGAGAATCCAGGAGTTGAACCAAGATTAGGGTGAGATGGAAAAGCTTTGTTCAAAAGATAGACTTATGGAGAGAGACAGTGACAGGAGGGAATTAAATGCTGAGTGTCCATAGTTACAGCAGACACAAGAAATGTGGGACAAAGCATCAGAGCAGCCCCATAGCTGCCTAATGATGCAGGGGTCTGCCAATCATGGTGCAGAGTACGCCTGTGTACAAAGGGCTCCCTTTGGTTCCTGTGTATAAGGTTTTCTTTCAAACAGCTCACTTCTCCCTCCCACTCCATACATACTACTTCAGCAAACCTGAGCATATTCCCAGATAAACAACATACTGGAGAATGCCCCCAAAGCATATGCAAATATGGAAAAGCTTTGGAAAATATCTGTCCCACAGCTGGAGAAGAAATGGTGACAAGTCACAAAATGTCTAGCAGGCTTCCAACCTAAGACCTTTTCCTCTTCTTGGGAGGCAGGGTTCAGTGTGGGAGATCGTGAATGGTGGAAATAATGTTGTAGATATCAAAAGGTGGGCTGGCTTGGGGTATGAATATCGAGAAATCCTGGCAGGAGTAGAGGTGACCGTTCACACCTGTCATTTCTCAGCATTTAGGAGAATGAGACAGAGGGTCCACAGTACTTGAGAGCAGTCTGGGCTATATGGCAAGACCTTAACTCAATAGTTAAATAATTAATTATTGGATAAATAGGTAGATAGCCCAGTAGAAACTGTAGAGCTGTTTTATCAACAGTTCTGAATTTTCTGAGTGACAAATTTTTATGTGTTGTATTTTAAGAAAGCTCAATAATTAACAACACCAATGCTCTTGCAGAGGATCCAGTTTTGATTCTCATCACACACACAATGATTTAGACTCTTTGAGACTCCTGTTAAAGGGCATCTGTTTTGCCCTCCATGGGTACCAGGCACACAAACTGTTCATAGATTCATGGAGACAAACCCCTCTCTAAAACGCTTCTCTGGCCTCCATGGGTAGGTACCAGGCACATAAATTGTGCTCGCATACATGGACACAGACACTCAGACATATACAACGAAAGTCAGCAAATCTTTTTATAATATGAAAACATGACTATACAGAAATCAATTTATAAAATAGGAAAACATGTATATTCAGGATAATATTTATACAGTATATACAGATAGGATACATATATATGTACATGTACATATACTGTGTACATTTGTGTGTGTGTATATAT